GCTCCCCCCGCGCGTGAGGGACCCCCCCGGCACCCCGACGGGCTCCAGGCTGAGCCGTCGCTCCGTGCGCAGGAGCCTCATGGGCAAAACGTCCCTGAGCCGCAGAACGTCCCTGGCAGAGAAGTACTCCCTCGCCAGCAGGAGGGAGAGCGCGCTCAGGAGCTTGGCCAGCAAGAGGAAGGCGGCTCGGGCGTCATCCGTGACCTGCAGCTCCATCGATAGTGAGGGTGAGTGTCAGCACTGGGTTTGCTTCGCACCTTCCCTGCTCTTCTCATTGACCTCCTGCTTTCCACTGCTGCAGGAAAGCAAGGTCATGGGCTAGGTCTTCACTTTGGGTACGCAGCTGATCTTCCTGGGGTGAAGCAAGGATGTTCTCTGGCTTCAAGAGACCAATGTGAATAGGGAACCCAATGACTGCTAGTTCGTGGCCTCTCAGTTCAGCCCTGTAAATCGTGCGGGAGAGCAGCTTTAAGGCCTCCTGGGCTCCTGTGGTGGTGGTAGCTCCCAAAGCAAAGGAGGGAGCTGGTGAAGGGGCTTTGTGTCTGCCTTAGGCTCTCTCGAGGGCCTCTGTGTTTCCTGGGACGTGAGGTGGCTGTCACAGGTTCACTGCTCTTTAAGTAGGGTCTGGCTGTAACTGCCAGAGCTTCTCTTGAGGGAATTCTGAGGTCGAACTTGGTAAACTTGTTCGAAGTCTTCCAGACTCACAGTGTGCAGTGGAGGCACCTCGGGAGAGGTGTCAGTGAGCACAGACTGATTTCAGTGTTCTCCCGTGCTGCTGGAATGTCGTGTTGGGTTCGGTGCTGGAGAACAAAGGGCTGGGTAGAGCCTCTGGCTCTCCTTTCTTTTCCAAGTGGAGGGAAAGAAGTGGCTGGTAAATGTTGGCCTAGTGCATGTCTCCTGACGTGCAGGTGATGCAAAAGATCCTCTTCTCCCAACTTGATGTTGGGGAGACAGGGTTTTTGTACAGCTGTTGTGAAGAGAGAACACACAGAGCTGAAACGTGCTGTGTAAGGTGGGTGTCAACGTGCGGGGGTGCAGCTGGGTGAGGGTGTGCTCTCTACAAAGCTGAGTTACCCTGGTTTGCTGGGAAGGGGTTTCCACACCAGTGTAGCTGTTCTGGGTGAGAGCTCCTCCACAACCAGAGCCCTGCAGTGCCCGGGGGAGAGCAGGGCAGCCTGGAGCTCTGTAGAGTCTCAGTGCAGAGTTGAGGGTTCCCCCAGGGAAGAGGCACTGAAGCATCTGTGTAGTGTGAATGCAGGTCCGTGTGTCTGGATCCGGGATACTGGGGAGCGTGTCCAGGTCTGGGTTACCGGTGGGGGACGTTCAGGGGTTCATTTCTCCCCCTGTTCTACTTGGCATGATTCCTCTTCCTGGTCAAAACATCTGGTGCCTGGACAGGAGCTGGGATGCTCCAGTTGAGGTTGTTAATGCCCCACAGCCCAGAGCACCATGATGGATGGCAGAGCTGTGTGTGCACATGTGGGGTGTGCATGCAGCATGTGCACGTGCGTGCGATGAGGCATGTGTGTGCATGTGGCGTGTGCCTGCAGTGCATGTGAACGTGATGCACATGTGGTGCGTGTGCATGCGTGTGTGCTGTGTGTGCATGCGTGTGCTGCAGCAGGTCTGGCACTGGCTGCGTGCAACCCATGTGTGTGTGTGCTTCCTTCGGTCCCACGCGCAGGGGAAGCGAGGGCTGTGCAAAGGCTGCTCTTGTGGGCTCTGCGCTGGCTGAAGCTGCATCAGCACCTTCATAACGTGATGAAAATAGAGAAATAAAATAGATCAAATAATAAAAATATAGAAAATGTAATAAAAAGCAGAGGTTTCTGGCTGTGCTGGCACTTGGAGCTGCCCTCGAGCCAGCGCATGCTCCGTGCAGGAAGCACTGTTCACCCTAAACAACACTGGGTTTAACCACTGCTCCTCAGCCTAAGCCCAGCCCCTCTCAATGCACTGAACAGTGCTTTGAACTCCTCTATTGTTGGAAACATCTCTTCTCTCACATTCAAACTGCAGCATTTCTCTTGCTGTTGGGTGCAGCGTGTGCCCAACCCTCACCCTGTGGGCTCCTGCACAGCCTTAGCCTGTGCCTGTCACAGCTCCGGTGTTTGTTTTGTTTCCCCACAGTCTCCAGCTTTGGAGAGATGCCAGAGGATGAGGAAACAGTTCTCAAACCTGGGTGAGAATACTTTATGTCCTTTCTTTATCCTCAATATCCTGCCTTGGAGGACTTTTACAGTGTCATTCACTGCTTGCAGGTAACAAGGGGCTTCCCCTCTCTCAGGTGGTCTTAAATAGAGCTGCCTTTTTTCTATTTTCCCCTAGGCCTTCTCCTGGACTTTGCAGCCCCTCCAAGCCGGTAAGGTTTGAGCAGAAAAGCGTTTCTGTTTGGGTGGGCTCCTAAGTGGAACGTGTTGAACACACCTTTCATTTGTTACTGGGGAATCGTATCTGGACAATGAGTGCCAAGGCTCCTGGGTGCCAGCAGAGGCGGCCTGGCAGTAGGGTGTTACCAGCTCAGCTGCTTTCAAAGCTCTGACTGCAGAACAGCTTTGCCTCTGTCATGTTGCATGAGGGTTTAAAGTTGGGTTGGTGCCCACCAGCCCTGGGATTGCCAGCGTTCCAAGGCAAGTCCTGCTTTCTGGCTCTTGCTGCTTCCATCCTGAATCTCTCTGCATGTAAAGAAGCTTCTCACAGCCCAGGCAGTTGTTGTCAGGGGTCCCTGTCGGAATGACAGCAGGAGTTGAAGCAGAAACTGGCTGTGCCTGGGTGAGTTGTGCTCAATCCCCTTTGCTTTTCCTGCAGGATCCCCAGAGTTCCCGGATGTCGCTGCGCTCTCGGGCCGCCAGCAGGAGCGAGCAGGCACAGGAGGGCACGAGCTGCAACGGTACCTTGCAGGGGCCTGGGGCAGAGGCCTGGCCAGTCCGAGCGATTGGTGCCTGGTCTGAGAGCCCGAACCAGTCTTTGATGAGGGAGGGTTTGCTTCAGCAGAGGAGCAGTTCGGAAGCGCTGTGCTGCCTGAGTTATACTGCACCTTGGGAAGCACGTGAAGACACATGTAATGAGGGAGGAGGGGTGTGTGCTGCCAGGTATGGAGGCCTGGTTGAACCCTGGGTCTGAAGCAAGTGGTTGATCTGTGCCTGTATCTGGAGTTATTGGAGCGAGGCCAGAGGAGGCCACGAAGATGCTGCGAGGGCTGGAGCAGGT